TAATCCCTGCCCCACTTATTAGCTGAATTTTCAAGGGCAAATTACTTCAGCTTTCTGGGCCCCATCTCCTCATCTACTAAATCGGAATAATAATAATAATAATAATAATACCACCCTAGGAGATTTCTGTAAAATTAAATGAAAAAATTAAATAAAGTGCTCAGCACAGTGCCTGGCATATAATAAGCTCTTGGCAATTATTAACTGCTATTATTATTAGATGACTTGCCAGAATCAAGTGGAGCTTGAAAGGTTCTTCAGGACTTCGCCCATCCTGGTCTAGTGTTACTGAGATGTTTCTGTTTGGGGGCCAAAGGTTGGCAAGGTTCCCTCCCAGAAAGATTGTCCCTGACCAGTGTTGTATCTTAGGAGTTCTTTGAACCACGAATATCCCTGGTCCTCCCTTCAAACACATATTAAACACTTCATCCGCCCAGATGGGCTCTAAACAATACACCTACTCCCCTGGAAAAAAAACCCAAAAAACTGTTTCCTGTTTAAATACTAGCAATCAGTTAAACATTATGTTTTGTTTTTTTTCTTTTTCTAGTAATTTTTAGGCTGCAGTAAATAATTGCTGAAGGCTCTACTTTAGGAGATACTTGTAAATCTACCTTTCCCCTTGTAATACAGAGAAAACCATGTCAAAAGTCATTCTGACCTTTTGTTTTTTAATTTGTTTTCTGAGTTACCATTTAAAAAAAGGGCAGTTTCTCAGTGGTAAGCCTTCTTAAGAGGTTGGAGCTTTGATCTCAGATCCTGGGGAGGCTTTGCAGAAATTGGAGGTGACATTGTTGGCAGTTTGTCTGTAGCTATTCTACTGCCATTAATTAAACACAAGCATCTATACACCCTTTATTTACTCCCCTGGTGTCAATGAATTGAACTTGACTTTGGTTTTTGCTGGGAAGCTGTGAGAAGGTCCAGGAAACATCAAAGGAATGCTCTTAATCTAGTAAAATGGACTCTCAAATACCCTAGCTCGAACATTAAAGAGTTCTTGATTCCAAAGTTGGTCTAGCTTCTTTACTGTAAAGCATTAATTCTCCTTAATGATAAGAAAAGTTCAGGGGCAAATAATCCCCAGTCCATAAGTCCTTGGCACTTTAATTTTATTTCACTTCTAAAGGTCTCTTTTGTAAAATTTTATATTTACACTGAGTGGCCAGATTATTATGATCTCTGAACGCATAATAATCTGGCCACTCAGTATATATATATATATATATATATATTAGAGGCCCAGTGCATGAATTCATGCATGGGTGGGTCCCACCAGCCTGGCCAGGGGGATGGGACATGGGCTATTGGTCGGCCTGCCTGCTGGTCGAACTCCTGGTTGAGGGGACGATTTGCATATTAGCCTTTTATTATATAGGATATATACTGAGTGGCCAGATTATTATGCATTCAGAGATCATAATAATCTGGCCACTCAGTATATATCACTCTGTTTTTGTTTTTCTTTTTGCATTTTCATACTGCTTACACCTTCATGAACTCAACTTAAAGGTCTTAAAACTTTATTTCTTTTGTGTCTTAAATTTTTGCAAGAGTTACAGCTATCCTAAAGCTTTTTTATGCTCCTAAATCTTTAGAAATGAAGGCATAGATAGGCTAAGACACTTGTGTAAGCAGGTGGTGCCTTTGCAGAACCTAGTAGCTGAAAGGTCCATTGTCATGTATGCTTATGGAACCCTACAGAACTTTCATGTGCTCCCAACAAATAGCCATCAGCAGGCCTTCTGGGTGCCTATGGTTTTTCTTTTAAACATCACCCAAGAATATTTTTCCATTGATTTTTAGAGAGAGTGGAAGGGAGGGGGAGTGACAGAGAAAGAAACATGTATGCAAGAGAGATACATTAATTCATTGCCTCCCGCATGTTCCCTGACCAGGCCAGGGATTGAGCATGCAACCTAAGTATGTGCCCTTGACCCGAACTAAACCCAGGACCCTTCAGCCCCAGGCCGACATGTTCTATCCACTGAGCCAAACCGGCTAGGGCATAAGTGCCTGTTTTAAGTTTTAAAGAGTAGCAAGCAGAAGAGACAAAATCCTACTCTCATGGAGTGATGCTGTAATGCACATTGAACACAAAGAGTAAAAATTATCACACATGTTAGCAGGTGTTAAAGGTGGTGGTGTTAGAGTTGGTTTGTGTTTTCAATAGGGTGGTCAGGGAAGGCCTGACTGATGAAGTGACATTTGAGGAGAGATCTGAAGGAGCTGAGGGAGTGTGCCTTTGGCAAGGTGTGGGAGTGCGAGGCTCTGAGGCTGGAAGATGCCTGAGCCGTGGGTGGAGCAGCCAGGAGGCCAGTGAGGCTGAGGAAGAGTGAGTGCAGGATACCTGGTCAGAGACAATCAGGAGCAGGTAGTTTAAGGCCTTGTGGGACAGGTAAGATGCTGGGCTTTTCTCAGAGCGAGGTGGGAGCCGACATGATGTAGTTTACACTGACTGGGATCATGTGGCTGCTGCTCAGAAGCCAGAAGGCTAGTTAGGTGGTTGTTGCCTTGCTCTAGGGCAGAGATGCTGGTAGGCTGAGCCAGCTGGAAGTGATGAGAAGTATGTAGATTCAGGACATGTTATAAAGGCGGAGTCAAAAGGATTTCCTGGCAGATTGGGTAGAGAAGAATTGATAATGTGTGCAAACTCCAAGTTGGAGCACCTAGACCATGGGGAGATGTTTCTCCTCTGCCACATATGCATTGTTATTGCTGGTTCTCATTGGCCTCCAAGTTATTATCACACAGTCAAGTCTGTTCCTAATTATGAATCTGCAGACACACTGGTGGCCGGGGGGCTATCTGTATCATCTTTTAGCCCCATGTTCTGAGAAAATGGTCCTCACTTCATTAATGAGAGAGCTTTGCTCACCAGGGTAGGTTGCTTAGTCCTTCTCCACACATCTGACTGCACCTGGAGCCTGTCCCTCTGGGCGCAGAGCTGTGGTAGGTGTGGGTGTCATCCCAGCCAGCATCTCAGCTCTGAGTCCAGAAAATGCAGAGAAAGAGCAGCAGAGCTGGAGAAGCTCAAGTAAAGACAAGGAACAGGAAGGTCAGGACACTGTTAGCATAGACAGCTCTGAAGAGGAAATCACAGGAGCAGTAAAATGTGTGTCTTTTTTTTTTTTGGTAAGAAGGGTTTTTCCTTCTTATTTCTCTCACTCATGGCTTTCATTGGAAGAGAAAAGATGCAATATTTCTAAAATAACCAGGGAGAGAATTAATGGAGGACAGGCAAGAAGAGCTTGATACAGTGACTCTCAGAGCCCCACTGCTCACTTCCCCCCAACATTCCTACTTAACTCAACCCCAAAGCCTATTGTGAGAGAACAGGAGGACTTGGTTAACTATTGTGGTGGCCAAGGAGAGAGCCAAAAATTCCACTCTGTTTATTTACTAGGAATCTCTCCCTGCATATTCACATGGGGTGGAGTAAATCTTAATCTGACGAGTTGTTGTCTCTGGAAAAGCAAAGGGTAGCCCTGGAAGCCCTTTAAGCAGCAGGTGCAGGGCAGCAGGAAGAGGAGCAGGGAGGGCGAGGCCCATGGCAAATATTTCAGGGAGGCCAAGAAGTCCATAAGGCTGATGAGCTCAAAAAAAGGAGCAGGTGGGTTGGGAGGGAGCGGTTCATGCCTAAGGGGAAACTGGAACCTACCAGGATGGGGCGATAGGAGACCAGACGGACTGGCATTCGGTCTAACCAGATGGTGGATTTTTATTTTTAAAAGGATTTTCAGTCCTAGGAACCAGGAACCATAAGGGCAGAGGGGCCTTTAATCCCATTAGTAAAAGATAAAAGTGTGCTCTTTAAAAATGCAAAGCCACCAGTTACAGAATTTCTATTATCCAAACTTTGGCACAGACTGTCGGCTTGGGAAATTCCAAGAAATCTCTGAATTTGTCATTGATGGAAAGATGAACTACAGAAATAGTCTAAGCATTACAAGTGAATGTAAAGACTCCTGAAGAATTCAAAGAAAACTTACTACATGTACATTCTGAACCAAATAAAAGATGATCTATTTGTATGAAATGGATTTGCTTACATACAGGGTTGGAAGAAAAGCTAACCAGGTCCTGATCAGTTATTTAGTAAATTTTGAGTACGCACTGAGCCACATTTTAACATTTAAGCACCTGTTGCTTCTTAAAATATTGTGCCCCAGTGCCCCCTTGCTGTGTCTAGGTCAGCCCAGCCTCAGTGTACCCACAGCTGCTCTCCTGAGATATAATAATTCTGCTATTTGGTCCTTGTCTTTATCTCAGCCATCACTTGAGAGTCCAAAATTATTTCCATAACCCTTTTCGAACAGGACTTATCCTCGAAGGGACCACAGTCAGTGTGGGGTTGTCGTTCTGGGCTCACTTGTGGCACGTGTCAGCAGGGCCCTAGCTAGTTGACACAATAGAGGGCTGGGGGTGTCGAGTCATGTACTCAGGAGTTCACGAAGGGCTCTAGCCAGTTTGGAACGGAAGGGTCCAGAGTTTGATTCCAGTCAAGGGCACATATCTCAGTTACAAGCTCAATCTCTGTCCCTGGTTGGGATGCATGCAGGAGGCAACCAGTTGATGTGTCTCTCTCACATCAATGTTTCTCTCTATGTGTGTGTCTCCCCCTCCATTCCATTCTCTAAAAATCAATGGAAAAATATTCTCGGGTGAGAATGAACAACAACAAAAAAGGTTCACAAAGGGTCATGTAGCATCTGATTATTCTGCTGAGAGGAAAAGTCTAATTTAATTTTTTAAAAATTCAAAGAAATGTTAACTACTAAGAGACAGTTTAAGTAGGGTGATTCATGGTCACTTTTCCATTTAGAATAGGCCAATATACCCATTAAGTAAATATCAATAATCCAATGTAATTTTTTATGCTATTTCATTAATATTTCTTTCCTGAATTATTCCTGAAAGAATGTTCTTTCATGGTTGAAACTGAGTAGAGTGGCTTTCCAACACCATTGACTGGGTTTTGTTTGTTTGCACCCATAAAGGTATGGAAACCTGACAAGCCCAAACTGTGAAGAAGATGGGAGCCAAAATTCACCGGAGTCCAGGACAGTGATCCGGAAGTGAGTGTCTTTTCTCTGCATTACAGGCTCTTAGTCAAGACTTACTGTCTGAACCAATATGGTTTAGTAGGGTTTTCTAAAACTTCCTTTGGAATATTATCATTTTTTTCCCCATAATGTATAAGCATGTAGCATTATTTTTTGACTCTCTAATGACATTCATTTATTCATCCGGTAAAAATGTATTGAACACCTACTGTTTGCTAGGCCCCGTGTTAAAGAATACAGCCCTGAACAAAAAATAAGTAAGCCCAGTTCTATGAAGTTTATATTTTAGCAGAGAGAGAGACAAAGAATCCATGCAAAAAGGGAGGAAGGAGGTAAGAGGTCTAGATCCTGGTGGAGTCTGATTCACACTGGACAAGGAATGTGCTTTTTGGTCTGGGGATGTTGGATCAGAGTCCTCAATGGGGTACAGGCTGGGCTTTATGACTATTAGGCAAAGAGAATCTGGAAAGAGCTATGAGGCAGGAACACTGTTCAAGAAACAGTGGGGAGGGGAGGGAGGCTGGAGCAGAGTGGTTGAAGGGGCAGTTTCTAGGGGATAAGATTTGTAAAGTAGGAGGAGTCCCTGATCACGTGGGGACTCAAAGGCCTTGGGAAAGACATTGAGTTTTATTCTGAGGAAGATGCATGTTTAGAAGGTTTTGAGAAAAGTAGTGCTGGGTCCTGATTTGTGTTTTTAAAGGCTTACTCTGGCTCTGGCATGACTGTGGGGATGGAAGCAAGAATGCCAGCAAGGAGCCTTTTAAGGGCCCAGGCAAAAGATGATGGTAGGCGGACTTGAGGTTACAGCAGAGGAACTCAGCTTCTGCAGAGCGTTGACCGTGTTGCTGACAGGATGTGCTGGTGGAGAGGATGGGGCATATGAGATAAGAAGAAGAGGCAAGATGCCTCCAGGGTTGTGGTGTGAGCAACTATAGAACAGAACCTCAGTTTTACCAGCCAGAGTGGACTGGTTGGCAGGAACCTGTTGATGGGGAGTGTGTGTCAGTAACTTATCGTAGACATGTTCATTTGAGGTCATCAAAGTCTACATTTCAGGGAAAAGTCTGGACTGGAGGTATATATTTGAGCATCCTTAGTTTCTCTATGGTAGTTAAAGCTGTGGGACTGCATGTGACCTCCTGGGGATGAAGGATAGAGAGAGAGAAGTGCAAATGAGTTAAGGTGAGGGGGTGAGATCCTGATGGGGAGTGTGATTCAAGTAGGGAACCAGGAATGCGGTTTCTGATCTGGCCATGTTGAATCAGAGCTTTAGTTCCCTTCAGTGTTTAGAGTTAGGAAAGAGAGGGTCCAGCAGAGGAGCCTGGAGCAGAGCAGCTGGGGGAAGGAGAAGAAAGATGTTATGTTCCAGAAGACAAGCTAAGAAAGGATTCAGGGTGAGGAGGGACCAGCTGTGTCTGACGCTGCCCATAGATCAAGTGAGAGGAGTCTGGGGAGTTGACTATTGCTTTTGCAATGCTTTGATCTTTTGTTTGATTAGCACAGATGTGGTTTAAGAGAGGATGGAAGGGGAGGGAGAGAGGATGGTGAGTTTGACAGCTTTTTGGAGTTTTGTTATAAAGGGGTGGAGATCATCTAAGAGCAAGGGAGGGTGTTTTCATTGTGTATATGTCTTGTTTTGTTTTGTTTTGTTTTTACAATGGGAGATCATTTATGCTGATGATCTTGAAGACAGTCTGGAAAAATCCATGATGCAGGGGTGTGGGCTACCACTATAGCAGTGATATTCTTGAGTAGGTGGGATATATCTCTGAGTGCCTGGAACACTGGTAGTAAATATTCATTTTGGGCCAAAAAATCCTATGGAATTTTTATCTCAGAATTAACCCATGGACTCCTTTCTTCAGGAGCCAGGGATGTGAAGGTTAGAAACTGTCTTTTAAACTCCCAAATTAGGCTTCAGATAGTTTTATACATTTTTTTTTTTGGATGGGCTATATATAACTTTCCAGGAAACAGGACACCCCAGAGTAGATATTTGAATGCCAAGTGCAAGATGTGGCGAGTGGAATGCCTTATTCCTAGAGGGCTTGGGGAATGCTTCTTGGAGGTGACATTTGACTTATGTCCTAAGAGGGGAGGGTGAAGAGCCATCCAGGCAGAGGAAACCAATGGAACTATAATATACCAGGGACTTGCACTGGGGATGACATTTTAGGGAACAGTACAGAATTGGTGTGGCTGCTTCACAGTACATAGAGCTGGGGGAAGGGCGTTAGTGGAGCTGAAGGTAAGTTGGGGTTATATCATGAAGGGCTTCAATTCGTCACAAGAGAATTTGTATAGGAGGAAAATAATATGAGATAGATGATTTTGGAGAATGGATTACGCTTAGTGCCTTCTTACTCAAAGTGTGGTCCTCTGACCACCAGCCATATGAGCATCGCCTGGGAGCTCGATAGAAATGCAGAATCTCTGGCCCCAGCCCACCTGGATTAGAATCTGCATTTTAACAATATCCTCAGGTGAGTCCTATGCACCTTAAAGTTTGAGAATCATAGGATTAGAGGGATTTCTGTTCATTTTGTTTATCCATAAAAACGAACTGCAATAGCCATTTTTTTTTTTTTAGGAGAACCTTTCTCTGATGTGTCTTTTTAAGCATATACAGAAGAGGAGATACTGTAAGAATTGAGTGGTCAGCTTGTCAAATGTCACCTTGACCAGAGTCAGAAATGAGCATGTTGCTATCCATGTATTTTGGAATTGAGTCAGATGTAGAGCTTCCATTCAACCAGCCACTGGAGCTCGCCAAGATCAACAGTCTGTACAATGCCCAGAGCCTCCCTGTTTCCCAGAGGGTGTTTGAGATTCAATAGGTTCCTGGGAAATAGTAGTTAAAGAAATGGATTTGTACCCTGGTTGTGAAGAGTCACCCTCGGTGTTTCAAAGGCTTGTTATTATAAAACTAAAGCGTCATTCAGCTTCATTGTGTACCAGGAACGGTAAGGTGGGTGAAACTCCAGGGTAGGCTGTCTTAAAGGGCTTCAGTCTCAAGCATACGGGGCCTTTACAAAGCATTTCACATAGAACGCGCCCGAGGCCCATCATCTGGCCACAATGGTCCTTTCTGAAAGCCTCCCAATGAATTACTGGAAAGTTTTTGACCCTTTTTCTTGAACTGAGTTACCTTTTTAGAAAATTAGGCCTGATGAAATATGCCCCTTTCTCTTATAATGGGTTGCTCTGTACTGCAAGCACACTGAAACCCCTCTGTCTGCTGACCTCTCTCTTCCTTTCACTTCCCTTTCTAATGTTTCTTACTGTTCTTCTCCCTCCCATTTCTCCTTTTATTATTTTCACCTCCTTTCATCCTTACCATTTTGCTCCCTTTTTCTAAACGTACTCTGTCCTGGTCATTTTGTGATGGATAGAGTCACTGCTCTGTCTTTCTGAGAGGAAGTCAGGGGCCACCCTCCCCATCCATAGGTGGCATACTGACAGCATCTCCATCACCCAGAGCTCCGGCATCTGAAGACCAAAGGCTTCCTGGTGGCTGAAGCGTGTGTAGGAATTAGGACAACATGGGAGTTCTCAATTGGCAATTTTGCCCTCAGAGGGTATTGGCAATATCTGGAGAAATTTTGGTTTCAGGTACATGGGGAGCCACTATTGCCATCTTGTGGGTAGAGGCCAGGATTGCTGTGGAACATTCTACAGAGCACCCTACCTGTGGGACCTTACCTGTCCAAAGTGCCTAAGGAAGAAATCCTGCTATATGGTGATGAGGCTGCCATCTTGAGTATATAAATCTGTGTAAAATTAGGACCATGCTTATTTGGAAATTTATTTGTTCATATCCCTTCTTATAATTGGGAGAATCAAATGCTGAGGTGGCCCAGGGGCTAGCCTCATGGAAGGTGGAAGTTTAGCGGCCCTGGCTAAGGAGCCTGGAGAACTCAAATTTGAGCTCCCTGCACCCCCCCAATCACTCAGGGACCAGCCATGTGACCTGGTCTCTTTACCTCTTTCATTTTCAATTCTTTACCTGAAGCATGAGTGCTTGGAATATGTGAGCTTTGAGGTCTTTTCAAGTTTAATGATATCTAAGATAAAATTTATTTAGCTTTCTCTTTCTCTTTCTCTTTCTTAAAATTAAAATGAATATCAGAAACAGAGGTGTGGTCCAAATAGTATATTGCATTTTTGAAAGGTACCCTTAACTGCTTCTCATGCAACCAGTTTTGATAAAATAGGGAGAAAAAATAAACAGCATCTTTGATTGGCTTGTTATTCATCACAGCTACTCACTGTGGTTATTAAAAAAAAAAAAGCTGAGCTAAAGCAATGCATTGTGGGTAAGACAAGGAGTGGCAAAATGCCCATTGTTTTCCTTTGCTGGGAATCTGCCTTCTTGTGATTGATTGCAGGTGGGAAACAGACACAGGAAGAAGTAAACATCCTGCTTTAGGACAGTGTTCCTCAGTCTTGGAGAGTTTTAGGGATGGGGAATCACTGCTGGATTTAGCCGTGAACAACCATTGTTTGGCTTTTTGGTTTTTTGCTGGAAAGCATGGAGCTAGGCTTTCATTTTATTCAGGCTCCTAAGTCCCAAGATAACACTCTTTCCTGTGTTTCTAAATATGGATCTAATCAACCTCCCAGAGGATAAAAGAATTAAAAGAAGGAAAACTGAGGAAGTGCAGTCAGGATGAAAAATTGGTTTCTGGTGTCTTGGACCACAAGTGGCCAGTGTTCTTCACGCACTTCACAAAGACTTTGATTGTGCCGACCCCCACCTGCAATCCCAGCCCCGAGTGCGCCCAGTTCTGGCTTCGTGCTACCGGAAGCCTTTGAAGTTATCTGGCCAACAGGCATCCCTCCAGTTGCAAGGCATTCACCTTCAGGGCTTCTAGACGTTGAGGTCTTTGCCACCCGGTGATTTCTGACTTTAGCGTTAAACTGATGGATCCAATGCCTACTGGGTTGATTTCTACGATCCCCAAGTTGCCACTGTTTGGAAATCAGAAGGAAACCTCTGCCCACACTCATTC